GCTGTAAGACAAAAGGGGAGGGACTCTGTAGCGTGCCTTCCGTGACCTTGGACTTGAAAAATGTATAGGCTCGGTTTAGGGGTAAGCCCAAAGACCCCTGACAAATGCCCACACCACAGACACTGTTTACTACTCCACCTAGCTGTGACTCTATACACCCAAGCAGGGCATCGCAAGACAAACCTGCTCAGGGACTGTACAGCCATCGGCTCCACTGTCTAAGGTAACTGACATGTTCATGTGAGACTCTGAGCAATATTCCATCTACCCCCTGATCCACATAGCAGGGCAGAGCAGCTCCAGGTTGAGCCCAAGTGAAACATCCCATACCCGTGACGACACAAACTCTGCGACACGATTAAGAGACAAAACTTGCTTTGACAAGATTTGATTGCAAGAATGGAGATGCTGTGGGACACTATGACCTAAGGGACTACCGTGATAACATGACTAGGCTTAAAGGATCCTGAAAAAAAAAGACACTAATGAGATGACCGGTCATAAGAAGGGTTCGTCAAAACCTTGAAGGTGGATACGCGACGTCACAGCGTTCGGAAGCTAAGAATGGAACGATGCTGAAAACGAGTCCTCCTGCTTTATGATGGATGGCTGCGGAGCACCGCTGATGATACGGCCTGGAATGAGGCCTTAAAAGAGGTCTGACTGAAAAAGTCAGAGATGGGATTCCAAAGAAGGCCTGAACCTGCAAAGGAAGCGACTGACAACTTCGGTACACAGCTACACGGAGAAGACCTGAGCTGAGAGGTTCTCAGGCCATTGGCTCTGACCTGAGTCTGAGGCTGCTGCTGTCAACGTGTGCCGTATCTGGGTGAGTGAGAAAAAAACGTTACGTGGTGTTTCTGAAAGTAAGGGAGACCCCAGCACCTCCCCACTACCTCCCCGACTCAACCTGAATGCTCCTCCTTTGCCAAAGGCAGGCCAGATGGCACCTGTAACTGGAAAAGGTCGAGCCTTAATTGGTGAGCGTCTGGGAGCAGCAGCACATGGTTTGCATCTCACTTAAAATCAAAACGGGTGAGGACCCTGACGGAGAGGAGGTCTCTTGATGAGAACAGGTATGATGCTTAGTATTGGATTTAGTATTGGAATTTGTATTTGGGATAGTAATTTGTAAGAAAATTAGGGCTATTTCCCCCGGAAAGAAAGCCTATAGCTTTTGGGTGTCAGGTACAGGTGGGAAAACTTTCTGTTCGCGTGGAAAGGGTTTTGTTAGCTTGCCGGAGCCCTGCCCTGAAACTGCACCTGACTCACAAAGGCTAGAGCCTTTCTTTCCTGCGGGAAAGGGTGTCGGTTGCTTTGAGAGCCCAGCAACGAAACAGCAGGTCTAACTCCCTAAATTAACATGGATGAAGTCCTCTCCCCGCACAGCTCCTCCGCTCGCAGAGGGCAGGAATCCCCGGTTGAAGCGGCGCGGGCTGGAGAAGCGCGGCGGGGGCTGGAGCGGCGCGGGCTGGAGAAGCGCGCCGGGGAGTGGAGCAGCGGGGGCTGGAGCGGCTCGGTGCGGGCTGGGGCAGCGCGGTGTGGCCGCGTCCTACCTGCGGGAGCTGCGGGACAAGGGTGAGCCTGGCGGTACCGGAACGAGGCGCGGGGGGGCCCGGAGGGAGCCCCGGGGATGCGGGGACCCTCCCGCGGTGCTGGGCTGAGCCCCCGGGGCTCCCGGGGTGCTTCGCGACGGGGGATGTGGAGTGAGGTAGTAACGACAATCAGGAAGTGCTTCCACGGACCCGCACCCGGTTCGGTAGCTGTGCCGAGGTTTGAACCGGGAAAGAGCCGCTGTCCTGCAGTGAGGACCGGGGGAAATGGCCTTACGATGAGACTGGGGAGATTCATGCGGATCTGCTCCGTGGGCCGTGTTCATGTCCCTTACCCCCAGCCCACAGAGTTTGAGACGACACTTTGATGGTTGGTGGACGTGACTTTGTTAATTCCTAGAATACTCATCAGGATGTAGCCTCTGGAGCAGGACAATCCACTCCATGGTGGGATAATCCAAAAAGGAGAGAGAGAGAGGAGCTCAGGGAGGGGTTGGCAGCCAGGGAAGGGGGGAGTTGAGGGGTTCCTGGGCTCCTCAGGCTGGCATTGCTCCTCTGCCAGGGGGATGCTCCATTTTAGGATGCTGTGCACCAGCAGGATGTAGGACATGGAGTTGGTCAACCGTCTTAACAGTCAGAGAACTCTGCAAGGAGGGAGAGAGAGAAGCTCACGGGGTGTCCCCAGCCAGGAGAGGTGGGATTTGGCGGGGGGGTGCTCACCGGGAAGAAGGTGTGCATGAGGAAGAGGAGCAAGACTGCTACTAGTGCCAGCCCGGCCCAGCCACAGTAGCGCCAGCGGATCCCATAGCGCAGGAGGCGGAGCGGGGATTGCAGCCACAGGAACGAGGACTTGGAGCGCCTGTGGATCACAGGGAGCTCAGACACCTCTGATCCCCCTCCCCACATCCCCATGCTCCTTCCCAGAACTCACCTGGGCACTGGCAGCGTTGGGTATTTATTAGGCTCCTCCCGCCCTTTCCCCACCGGCCGCTCCTTGGCCTCCTCGGCTGTCAGCAGCTCCAAGCTCAGCTCCAGCTTCCCCTGGAGGGATCGTAGGGGCAGTTGGGATGCAGGGCGTGTCCCTGCCCTCCTCCATCATGGCTGCCCCCCATTATCCCGACATTCCCAACCTACAGAGAGCCGCTGGGCACCGTCCTCCTGCACCATGCAGGGCCACCAGCCCCGTGTCCGCCGCATTCGGAAAAGGTTGATTGAGGAGGGGGCCAGGGCTGGGGTCCTGCACCAGAGCCAGGGGACACTACGGTGCTCCCAGGGCATGGCCCTGCACAGCCTGGGGGTCAGGGCTGGGTAGGGCAGCTTGGTCAGGTCCAGCTCCAGGACGCCTGTGGGGAAAGGCAAAGAGGGAGAGTTCCCATCACCAGTAGGTGCTCCCCATCCCCAGCAGATACTTTTCATCACCAGTGGGTGCTCCCCATCTCCAGTGGGTGATTCCCATCATCAGTGGGTGCTCCCTGTCCCCAGTGGGTGATTCCCATCATCCATGGTGCTCCCTGTCACCAGTGGGTGATTCCCATCATCTGTGGGTGGTCCCTGTCACCAGTGGGTGCCCCCCAACCCTCTGGAGGTCCAGGGGCAGGGAAATGGAGTCTCACCCAGAAGATCATCTGCTTTAAACTTGTCATTGTCCCACACTTGGAGGATGAGTTTGGGTGGCACCTTCAGCACTGTCTTGTCCAGGCTCCAGACATGCTCCTGGGGAGGGGGAAAGGGGGGTCATGCTTGTCACACTCGGGAGTGTCCTCTGTCACCCCAGAGTCCCTCTCACCCCAGGTCCCCATCACCCACTCCTTTGGTCTCTGTCACCCCATGTCCCCCTCTCTCCCCAGTCTCTCTGTCCCCCAACCCCCCGGGGGTGTCCTCCCACCCTGCGGCCGATGGCACAGAGTTTCTCAGCCGCCAGGAACTCGAAGGGGAACAGGAAGCGCCAGTTGAAGGCGCCATGTCCGTCCCGGGAGCGGTAATGGATATCTGTGTGCTGCCGCTGCTCAGGGAGACCGTCCAGCCACCTGCAGGGACATAGAGCACTGCCAGGGGGCACAGGGGACTGGGGATGAGGACCCTGGGGTGAAAAGGACAGATGCTGGGGGGTGACAGGGACCCCACAGTGATGGGGACGTGTTTGGGGGGCACACGCGTGTGCCCTGTGCTCACCCAGTCACATAGATGTCACTCATGCGCTGCCCCAGCAGGTTGGTGTCCCCCAAGTCCGTGTCCCGCACGTTCCACACCACACAACGCAGCTCATACCTGGGGGGAACAGGGCAGTGTCCCCACCTGCCCAGGGATGGCCGCCCCAACCCCCCAGAGCCACTCACCCCTCAGCCTTGCGGGGGTCGATGTTCACAGGGGGCCCAGGGGGTCCGAGGTTGGAGGGGAAAATGTCAACCCACATCTGCAGCTTGCCCTGCATGGGGCACGAGGGGATTGGGAATGGACACCTCAGGCACCCCTTTGTCCTGGGGGACCCCATCACCCACCCCTAGGGCCCCTGCCACCCCAGGCTCCCCACCCCCAAAGTCTGTGTCACCCCAGGGTCCTCACCCCAGGCTCTCGGTCACTCTGGAGTCCCCATCACCCATCCCCAGGGTGGGTCACATCACCCTGGGTGCCCATCATATCCCCGCACCCCAGCATCCCTCCCTGCCTGGAGTTCTGCATCACTGTGAGGTCCTATCACCCCAGAGCATCTGTCCCTGTCACCCCAGGGTCCCCATCACCCACCCCCAGGTTCTCTGTCATTTTAGTGTCCCCATCACTCACCCTTGGGGTTCCTGTCACCCCAAGGTCCCCATCACCCACTTCTGGGGTCTCTGTCACCCCAGGGACCCCATCCCCAGGTTCCCTGTCACCCCAGTGTCCCCATGCCCGTTCCCATGTCGTCCCCCCCCATGGTGCCGGCGCCCACCTGCTCGAGGCCGGGCTGGGCACTGCTGTAGAGGGGCCGTGTCTCCAGGTGCTCAGGCACAAAGGGGCACAGGTTGAGCACGTGCAGGGCCAGGCGCTCCCGGGGGGGGCCGGCGTGGCGGAAGGTGGGGGGGCCACTCTCTGCACAGGGACTGGCACAAGTGGGACAGGGCCCGGACGCACCCCCAGATCCCCCTCAGACTCCACTCAGACCCCCCAGACCCTCCCCATCCCTCAGACCCCTCCAGACACCCCCCCTCCAGCCCCTTCCATACCTCCTCCACACCCCCCAGACTCTCTCAAGCCCC